CTCTCCAAAAAAAAAAAAAAAAAAGAAAGAAAGAAAGAAAGAAAGAAAGAAAGAAAGAAAGAAAAAAATTGCATGTAGTCAGTGGTCACCTTGTGTTTACTTATCTGCTGACTCACAAGAGAACATAACCTGACATCTCTGTAACCCCCAGGAACTGACCAACAGCTAGTCTTGCCTGACTTCAGTAGACGAGAAAGCACCAGGGAATTCAGCCCATGCTGAGCCTAAAGAAGGAAGGACACCAAAGTAGCTGGAAGTTCCTCTCTCTGGCGCCATCCATCCGGGAGCAGGAGCGGCTACTCTGGAAGAGCAGCCCCTCCCATACTTACTCCGTACAGAAATCCAGATCCTCAGGCTCTCTTTTCTGATGTGAGACACTGCCCTTGCCTCGCACCAATAGGGTCCTGAGTTTTCAGTCCACATGGCGGAGATCTGAAGTTGTGGGGAGCTGCTGCAGCCTGGCTTTAGGACCTGGTTACTTCTGAAGAAGCAGAACTGGATCTGGACATTGGGCCTCTGTGGAGAGAGCTGGGTCTCGCAGGTCAGGGTCACTGGGTTCCCTTCTATGGGTCGGGAGGAGTTAGCTATCAGCTTAGGATGTGGAAACAGTTCTAGAGAGAAGAACAAATACAATCCCCAGGTAGTGAGGCTCCAAGCTCCTGGAGAGAAACCCCAGTGTTCTCAGCGCCAGCATTGGGAGATGGACAGAGAACCAAGCAGATGGAACCACCTCCCTCCCATGGCTGGGCCATGAGTCTTTTCATGATAATCTCACAGACGCGTGCCCTCTCGCCATCCCCCACCATGTTTCTTGCCATCCCTGTTACAGGAGTCTAGTCATTACCTTGAACTTGTAGCCTTAGAGATTTGGTGTTTACTGTCCATCGAAAGTAGCCAGGCTTAGCACTGCAATAATATGTACCACTATCATGATCCCTGTGGACTGAGGTTAGTGAGATACAGTCTTTGTTGTCATATATATAAAGTTGTCTTCCATTCTTGTAGTACTTCTTTTCACTCATTTTCGTTTCTTCTTTCTCCTTGCATCTCAAGTCTATATTATCTCCTTCAAAGACAGGGTACGGAGCCTGGAGGATCAACGCGTCTGTAAAGGTAGAGGAACACAACCCCATTATTCCCACTGCTGCTTTTTTCACTCTTGTCTCTGCCCATGAGGGCAGAGCTACCTCTCATACATGTCCAACATTTCCTCATGGCCCTAGTCGCTGACTCTCCCTTGCTCTGGGGAGTGAGTGAGCTCCCAGAAGATGACTTTGAGAGATCTTCATGCATGTCTTTATACTAAAGAGGAACTGTATCACATGTCTTTTTATCAGACCTGAGCTCCTTTTTGACTGGTGACCTCTGGCTTGCTGACACTTCTCTAGATGGTAAGGATGGACAATGCAACATTGTGCTCTCTTTATTTCCCCGCTGGAGTCGGTATGTCCAACACCCCATGCCTCTAAATAGTGCTCCCTGGTCTCCCTGCATTAACCCGGCCCTCAGACACTTTGACTTAAAGACCTCCCCCCTTTTCTACTCACCAGATGAAAATTCCACATGCACAGCGTCACTGATGGAGGATTCGTTGCTCTTGCATCTGTAATCTCCAGAATCTGTTATTTCGGTTGATTTACCTTTTTTCTTAAGTGCCTTCCCTACATAATACCAATATGTGTCTCCCTGGACTTGGGAATAGAAATCCTTGCAAATGAGAGTCACCCTCTGTCCTTTGAAGGTTGTGGACCATGGAGGATCAAGGAGAAGTACAGCTTTTGGAGCTTCCCCTGGACAGGAAATAGAAAGACTCAGGGAGGTGAAGGTGAATGGGAGGGGTCACACGAGAGGGAGGGCCCAGCCTGCAGGGCGCAGTCTTCCTAGGCTAATCCCAGTCAGGACCAGGGTTGAAACTGGAACCCTATTAACCTGGGGCAGAAACTGTTCTTTCAATCCTTTTCCTGGCATAGAGGTGGGCAAATGGGTGTCATTGGGGATAAGTCTCAGGTCTCTAATATGGACTCTAAATCACTCAGGAAATGTGATTTGCAATTGTGTAAATACTATGAAGGCCTCTGAAGATGGGCTGATTCTGAAATCCTCCCAGCTTACAAATTCCTGTCAAGGCAAAGGTGAATTTAGGATGTACATATCTCTAGACCCCAGGAAATCACTTTGTAGTTGGTTGTGAGTAAATGAACAGGGTTTTTTCACTTTCGTTACTTTTAAACCTTATTTAGTCTGAGGTTCTATGGGAAAGGCAACTTTTCTCTATTCTCCATCTAAGTTGGACACAATCAACTGAGGAATATAAAGAATGTGACTAAGGGAGGATGGGCTGCTGGAGCAATCAGACTTGTATGTAGAATTGCCATGGACCAAAGGGCCAGAAGCATGTCCGTCGTGCGAGCTCCCCTTCGATGTGTGAGGATTTGCCTGCAGCATTTCCTCTGAATGGGAACCCTCTGTCTTCTGGACATAGCACTAGCCCAGACAGACAGAGGGAGAGGTGTTCCAGAATAGGGGAGATCAGACCCAGGGTCTGGCAGCATCAGCCTCCTGCCTATACCCTTCCTTCTGCAAATGCGTCTTTCCTCTTTACACAGAGGCATCCTGGTGATGGAGAAAGAACAGGAGACCAGAGAAGCCGGGTTGGGGCGGGGTGGAGTTCCTGTTTGCCCGGTGCAGTGAGTGCTGGGTGCAACCTCAGAGCAGTGGCAGCACAGAGGTTGACACATTTTTGCAGCCCTTATTTTCAGGGGTTGGGACAGGCTCTGCCGGTAGAGAGGACCAATACCCCAAAAGCAGGAGAAGCAGAGAAAGGGGGAAACTTACTTGACTGTTCTCTTCCAGGAGCTGCGAGGAAGCCAAAATTAAAAAAAAAATTAGCACAGAGCAAAGTTTGTTCAATCTTTTCATGAGACTCACTCTGAAATTTTTCCAACAACCCAGCCTCAATAACATGTTTAGTTTTACCCTTTCAGTTTTTTCATTTCCATTCTATACCACCCATAGCTCCTAAACAACAACAAAAAGTAGCCTCTAAGTCATTTTCCACACATACAATGGCATGTGTCTGCAGCCCTGGTTTGTCTCTTTGCTATGTCTACCTGGCTGCTTCCTGCCTGATTCCCTCCTCTGCTCCAGCCTGAACCCAGCAGTACAGAGGCAGGCAAGGACTTGGAGTCGTGGTTGCCTTTTCCTCATTTCTTGGACTTTCTCGCATTCTTCCTACGTTTTCAATTACTGGTTAAATTTTGACTTCAAACCTAGGGAAAGGAATTGTGTTTCTCTATAGCCCCTCCCTCACTAGCCTCGGTTTGAACAGAACTGTTTATCTGAAACATTACTTAGTTTAAAGCTGTAAGGAGGATGCATAGTTAAAATGTGGCAGGGCAAAAATTTCAAGTTTCCTATGAGATGAAAAAGTCAATGGGTGAGAAACCAAGGACAGCATAGCTGGCTCAGATGCTTGCATTCAGAGTCTTTGGGTATTCTGGGTTCTCAGTTCTGCTCAGTTCCCAGCTCTTTGTGTCTCTGAATCCCCAGTAGAGGCAGAAAGAGTTCTTTGGGTGTCTCTTGGCTGACTTTAGGAAACAAGGTTGTGGTCCCAGCCCACCTACTCACCCAGGATCAGCAGCAGCAGCAGCCGCAGCAGCATGGAGACCTGGCCTGACCGAGGGCAGAACGAGTCTATCTTGCCAAAAGCCAGGTTTATTTTCCATCCAGTAAGGAGGATGGGAGTCTGTCACGCAGAAACAACTTGCAAAAATTAGAAAAGGGGAAGTAAAAGAACTTCGTATAACATCCTGCTTTAGGCCTTGAAAATATGAATTTGGCCACCTTCCTAAAATCTGTTTGTTCTCTCTTGCTATCACATAATACTGCAGATGGGTAATTTATAAAGAAAACATTATTTATTACAGTTCTGGAGGTTGGGGAGTCCATTCTTAAGGTGCTGGCATCTGGTGAGGGCCTTTATGCTATGTCAACCTTGGTGGGAGGTGGAAGGAGCAAGAGAGGATGAGAGAGGAGAGAGAGAGAGAGGAAAAAAAAAAAAGGAAGGGGCATGAGTTCATCTTTTGCCTTTATTTATTTATTTATTTTAGTTTACTATAGGGGATAAATCACCCCCACCCTGGGGAGGGGAAGATGTCCATGAAACAATCCCTTCTCCTCCACTCACCTCTTGAGATTTTGGGCACCCACACACACTCGTGTGGCAGGTTCTTCAAGCATCCAGGTCTGGGACTTGAGACACACCGTTGGCCACGTGGGACCCATGTCACCTGTTGGGCAGAGAGCATCTTTTTATCAGGATCTCACTCCTACTGTAAGGGTATCAATCATTAATGAAGGCAGAATTCTCACAACCTAATCCTCTCTTAAAGTTCCTACTTGTCACTGTTTCATTGGGGATTAAGTTTCCAGTGAGTAAACTTTGGGGAACACAGGACTATTTGAAAAAAGAGGTCAGCCATGTGGGAACCAGCTGTTTTTACAATCACCAGGCCACGACCTGGCCTGTGCACTTTTTTTTTTTTAATTGATCTTCTAATCTGCACAGAACTGGGTGGGATTTAGAGACAGTCCCTTCTGCTAAACTGAATCTTTCTATCATTTTCCTGTTCAGAAGCTTCATATTTATGTGAAGAACGAAAATTAGCCCTGACAGTTGTGCATTTTTAAATGTTCAGGATTATCATCCAACTGTTCCAGTAGAGGCATCTCATGAGTCGTGTCTGGGTTGTCCAAAAATGTCAAGCTGTGAATTTGCAAGTATTCAAATCACTTCTCCATTTTTCAAATGGAAAACCCCTTCATTACTCTGATTTCACACAGACTTTTATTCTGTGAAAGGCTTCTAATTTAGACACAGTTTGGGAGTTGGATGTCCTGCTGTGTTTTGTGGTATGAGTCACACAAAGTTGAGGTGTAGTATACAAAAGCCCTTTTAGCTGTTACATAACTAGGAAGCTTCTGAACAGGAAATGATAGAAACGTTCATATTAGCAGAAGGGACTATCTCTAAATCCTGTCCAATTCTGTGCATATTAAGAGATCAATAAAAAAGTATACAGAGCCAGGCTGTGACCTGGTGATTTTAAAGCAACTGGTTCCCACATAGCTGACCTTGTGGTTTCAGTCTCATAAGGGGTTGGGCTTAAGAAACAGCTGCATATGTGCTTGCATGTGTGCCCAAATCCTGAGAGGAGAATAGAGAAGTGATTGTGGTGTGGCCATTACCCGGAGAGGTTGGTTTCTCTCTCACTTACTGGCAAAAACAAACAAAAACACAAACAAAAAACAGAGCCCTTATTATAAGGACCTTCCCTTATCTTGTAATCACAAAGGTCCCACTTCATTATTTTCTGTTTCAGGGCCAAGGTGTTTGTTTGCTTTTCATAGAGTTCATCATAATTTGTAATTATTTCCCCTATTTTTTCTCTTGTTTTATGACATTTAAGGGCTCATATCTGTTGTCTTTAACATTTTAATTAATTAATTTAATTAAACTCAACAGTAAACTTTATATTTTTCTGTCTGTCGAATGTTTCCTCCCTTGGCATCACAAAGCCACTCTCCACTACCTTCTCTCTGCCATCCACTCGTCCCCCTTACAGTCTCTAGTATTTACTCTCATGCTCTTCACATCACATTTTCAAGTCTCTCAACCTCTGCTGTAGTACTCAGCAGAAAGTGAGTGGGGATATACAATGTGTATCTTTCAAAACACAGAAAAACAAGATTCACCTCGCTCAACATTAAGTCTTTTATATTCATCCATTCTGAGTCGAACGATGGGATCTCATTGCTTCTTACAGCTGTGTAATATTCCATAGTATATATGTGCCGCAGGTTTTCAACTCAGGCATTTGTTTTTGGATGCTCAAGTTGGTTCCATGTTTTATCAACTATAAATAATGCTGCAATAAACACAGATGTTTAAATGTCTTTCTGATTGTTTTCCTACCCCTTGAGTAAAGACCCAAAAGTGGGATTACTGGATCATGTGGAAGTTCTATTTGTAGAAACTTTTGTATTGTTGTCCACAGTGGTTAGTCTAATTTACAT